AAGGCGACGGCCGACATCGAGTACGACCCAGATGCCCCGCTTGAGGCGTACACCAACTCCAGCGTCCACACCCGCCTTTCTTCGTACACGGAGGCGGCAAGGTCAGTCCATGGGTCGTGCTACGATCCAAGAACCGAGGAGCGCCTTGATCCTCAGCTCGTGATGAGGGTGGGGCAAGGCAAGAAGCATGGGCGGTTCTGGATTGGCGATGGCATCCTCGACACGGCCTCTACTCCTTCTCTCCACATGACCAGCAAAGCGTGAGCACGAGCTCAAGCGTGCCCATACGTGGCCAACCATGTGTCGGCACTCCGGTAAGCATTCTGTTTCATTCATCGTTCTTTGACTTTTACATACCTTACCTATGCATTATTGAAACATTGGGGTCAAATCTCTGCAGGCCCAGTGCGAGGCGCAAGCCGAAGCGAGGAGGCCGAGCGGCAGAGGCTCTGTGCTTTGGAGGCCCAATGGGAGCAAGATCGTGACAAATGGCCGAGATGATCAAGTTCATGCAAAGACAAATTGGCCGAACAACAAGGTTGGGCGATCCCACAGATGCTTGCTTGCTCCAGATCCACCTCCACAACGTCCCCGATTCTACCCGGTGAGTATAAGTCTGAAGTTTTACTTTCTATCTTTGAAACTTAGAGAAACCTAGTGAAACCTAGAGAAACCTAGTGGTGGTGGTGGTGGTGGTGGTGGTGGTCATGGTGGTGTGGTGGTCATGGTGGTGGTGGTGGTGTGGTGTTGGTGGTGGTGGTCACGGTGTTGTGGTGCTCATGGTGGTGGTGGTGGTGGTGGTGGTGGTGGTGGTGGTGGTGTGGTGGTGGTGGTGAAGTGTTGGTGGTGAAGTGTTGGTGATGGCGGTGATGTGGTGGTGGTAGTGGTAGTGGCGGATATTTATCTTGCATATTTATCTCTTCTCTTGTCGCTCACGTGCAATCTCTTCTATTTTGTGCAGCAAGATCAATCGGGGCGCGCCGAACCACCTCGGAGGGTCGCGGGATCGTCGTTAGGCCATCCCAACCCGGACCGTCGCCGTGAACTTCAAATGGCGCCGTTGTGATATAATGCACTTGTGAACTTTGTGAACTATGCTTGTGTGTTTGGACTTTGGACTTGGGAGTCGAGATTGTGATACTTGTATGCTATGTTTGTGTTTATGGTGGATTGTGATATACATTTGTATTTGTATTATATATATATATATATGTGTGATATATAGTTGTGTTATATATATATATATGATGAATATCTTGTTTGCAACTATGGAAGACTAAAAACAAAAAAAATGAATTTTTTTCATTCTTTTTGCCGAGTGTCATGACCATGATGACACTCGGCAAAAGCGGGAATCTGGGACACTAAGCTTTCCGACTTTTATGGAGTGCCATGGTCAAGGCACTTTCGGCAAAGAAAATTCAAAAAACTGCTTTGCCGAAAGTGCCTACTACAAAGACTCGCAAAGAAAATCAAAAAACAAGCTTTGCCGAGTGCGGATGCGGGCACTCGGCAAAGCATTTTTTAAAAATAAAATAAAAACACATTTCTTTTGCCGAAAGTCTTACGCGCGTGGCACTTTCGGCAAAGGGGCCGTCACCATGACACGGCCGTCACGGCGGCTTTTCTTTGCCGAGAGTGCCGTCGTGGCACTCGGGAAATCCTTTGTCGAGTGACCGACATGCGGCTTTTCGGCAAAGAAGCTTTTCTTGAAGTGAAGGGATATGCCGACGACTCTTTGCCGAGTGCAGCACTCGGCAAAGGCTTTGCCGAGTGCAAAGCCTTCTTTGCCGAGTGCAATTGCACTCGGCAAAGCACGCGTCTGCTGTAGTGGGTGTATCCAACTGCCAAGTCCGAGACATGCCAGCAATGCTGTATGGGCTATCCGAAAAATGATTAGGATTGTGTACATGTGGCAGGAAGGTCCCATCACTGCCGGTTGAAATTATGAACCGCCGGTGATATTGGATCATCAGCCGGTTATTAAAAAAAACCGACAATGATGTGTCAGTATCACTACCGGATTTTTGCTTAACCCGACAGTGTTACTGATACAATGCAAAAACCCCAACCCAAGCCCCTTCTTCCTCCTCCCGCCCAACCCGAGCACATTCATGGAAGGAGGCGTCTTTTCGCTTTCCTCTTTTGCAGCCATTTCTCACCAAATTGCTCATGGAGGGGGTTGGTTTTGAAGGATTGACATGATCCCTATGTTGTAAGGTGGTAAACTAGTAGTCCTTTACATTTGTAGTTTGTCTTGCTGGTCATATTGTCTTTGATTCTCATGCTCTTGATCGTTATCAAATTTGCAGAGCTTTTTTCGTGAAGGCATCTGAATTTTGGTGAATCCACTTGAGACTGGCAATACAATGTTAGTACCTTTGTGTACTCACTTAATATGTATCTACGTAGTTTGCTTTTGTTAGAATATTGGTTTTGATTTTTGTCATATGGGTGACCAGTTCTTGATGAACCCATGAGATACACATAATTTAATTTGAGGCTACATTACCTACCAAGTATTTATTTTCAGAATAGCATTTATTACCTACCAAACATTTAATTTAGACATGTTTGAATTATATCTGGTATAGGATTTGGAAATTTATTATTATTGGACATTATATTTACCTAGTGAGCATTTATTATTCATAGGGCATGCATTCATAAACTTGAAACTTAAACTAAATCCAGTGCCCTGTCCTTTCTTTTTTGCTAACAGATGGATCAAGGATGGATATGCGGTCTGGGTCCTATGGACCTGCAGTTTGTGATGGGCATCGACTTATTTATCAAGGCCGCCAAAGCTTATGTCACAGGTGATCCCCTGAATGAAGGACGTGTGCTGCCCATGCAGGGTCTGAAAGAATCTGAGGCAATTTCGCAAGCCTAAGAAGATAGGATGTCACCTGGTTACCCAAGGTTTTGTGGAAGATTATAAGAATTTGAGATATGGAATATGCATGGTCAAGAGGGTGACAATGTAGCGGATGACCAAGGTGGCAATGATGAGAGCATACCTGGCGAAGATGTGGTTAGTAATAATGTTCTTAGGAATATGTTAGCTGATGATACCGTGGACAATGGGTTCTCTAAGATGCTATGTGATGCGTAGTCAGGATTCCTTAGTCCAAAACAATTGAAAAAGTTAGAGAAAATGAGGAAGGATGGAAAAACACCATTATATAAGGGTTGTAAGGTGAGCAAATTAGAAGTTATCGGGCTATTAGAGCTGAAATCTACTCATAGTATGTCCGGTAAGGGCTTCAGAGACTTGTTATGTTAGCTCAAGAAACTGGTACCAAGGCGAGCAAAGCAACGAACAGTTTGCGATGCTTTGACTGAACTGAGTTGGATTCCAGATATTCAAGGTGCAATCACTGTTACAATCATTGCTGAATTTCTTGACCTGTGTGACCTTTTCTCGGAGGTAGAACTGTAGGCCGAGAGTGAAAATTCCCACACATGGTGTTTCTCTTCTAATGGAAAATACTCAACAAAATCAACATATGAGAGTTTGATTGTTGGGGCTGACCATTTCAGTCGACCTAGGGAGAGAATCTGGAAAAGTCAGGTGTCTGGTAAGTGCAAATTCATCATGTGGTTGGTCGCTCATAATAGGTGTTGGACTGCATATCGCCTTGCCAAACGGGGGTTACTGCATCATGAACATTGCTTGCTATGTGATCAGATCTTGCTATGTGATCAGGAGGAAGAAACAATTGTCCATTGGCTTGTGTCATGTGTCTTCACTTGACCAGCGTGGTACCTCCTCTTGCAGCAAGTGAGTTTGGAAGGCTTAACCCCCAACCCAATGATGTTTCCTTTGATGATTGGTGGGCACAAACAAATGATAGAGTGAGTGGCCCAGTTCAAAAAGGGCTTAATTCCATCATCATTTTAGGAGCTTAGACAATCTAGAATCACCACAATCGTTGTATTTTTTTATGGGATTTTGCCAAGCTTGAATGAGGTTATGTTGTTCATCAGGGAGGAGCTACACCTTTGGTGTTTGGCTGGGGCTCGAGGGGTCTCTCATCTCCTCGCCCTTGTGCCAAGTGACAATTGATGTTTTGTTAATATCATTTTAGGTTTAAGTTTACAGGTAAGCATGTAATTTTTGTTGGTGTGTCTGGTTGTTTGGTTACAAACCTTTTTCTTCTTAATATTACAAGTTACTTAAATTGCTTCAGTTCTCAGTTGTGGTATTTTCTTTTTGTTTTGAGTTTACAAACTACTACCCCCCTCAAAAAAAGGATGCAACTCCAGCACGTTACTGAGTAAAACTATATCAAATTTGACAAAATTTATACAAACAACTACAAATATTAATGATATCAAATAAGTACCATTAGATTTATTACTAAATATGGTTTCATCCTATAACTATTTTAGATTCATATTGATATATGTTTCTATAAATTTGATCAAACTTAAAATAAATTAACGAAAGACATACCTAACGTCGTATCTTTTTTGAGACAGAGGTAATAGTTTATTGAAACTGTCCTATACACTCTAAGCTTATGTGTTGTAATTCCTTAACGCACCGTTTGGATGTAGACATTGGAGCCCAAGCATTGGAATTGGAATCGGGTTTCCTCAACGCTGCTATTTGGATGTACATAGAATTGAGATTTGGCATTCAAGACCGAATTCCTTGGTATTGAACTATAACTCGAAGGGGTCTATCCCAATACTAAGCCCGACCCCTCCGTATTGAGTGGAATTGAACTCGACACTCAGCCTCTTCCCCGTGGGCGAGCGGCGGCGGGCGAGCGCCATCTTTCCTGTGGCCGACGACCTCCTCTTCCTCTTCCCCATGGCCAGCGGTGCGAGCTCCTCTTCCTCTTCCCCATGGATAGCGGTGCGAGCTCCTCTTCCTCCCCATGGCCGGCGGCGCGAGCTCCACCATGGACGGCGGCACGAGCTCCTCTTCCTTCCCCATAGCCAGCGGCGCGAGCTCCACCATGGACGGCGTCACGAGCTCCTCTTCCTCCCTACCATGGCCGGCGGCGCGAGATCCACCATGGATGACGCGCGCGAGCTCCTCTTCCTCTTCCCCATGGATAGCGGCGCAAGCTCCTCTTCCTCCCTATGGCCGGCGGCGCGAGCTCCACCAAGGACGGCAGCGCGAGCTCCTCTTCCTCCCCCCATGGACGGCGGCGCGAGCTCCTCTTCCTCCCAAGCATGGGGCGGCGCGAGCTCCACCATGGACGGCGGCACGAGCTGCTCTTCCTTCCCCATGGCCGGCGGCGTGAGATCCACCATGGACGGCATCGTGAGCTCCCCCATGGCCGCAATCGAGCTCCCTTCTCGGCAGCTCCTCTTCCATCTCCGCCAGTGGCGAGATCCACCATGGACGGTGGCACGAGCTCCTCTTCCTCTCCCCATGGCCGACGGCGCGAGATCCACCATGGACGGCGTCGCGAGCTCCCCCATGGCTGCAATCGAGCTCCCTTCTCGGCAACTCCTCTTCCATCTCCGGCAACGGCGAGATCCACTCGCGTCCTCCCCCACTGCTTCTTGTTGACGACGGAGAGGAAGGGCCGAGGGTCAGCAGCGACCACCCCATCTCTAACTTCCTGCCTCCGCGCCCGAGCATGTCGCGACCGAGGCCGCCTCCGCCTACACGCCCGTCATCGGTGGACAGCTCGGGCTGAGGGTGACTTGCCGGCGGAGAGCCCTGGTGCAGATGTAGGACGGAGAAGAGGGACCGAGGGGGGAGGGACAAGGGAGACAGAGGGCCATTTCAATGCCTGGCCATCCAAACAGAATTTTGACTTTATAACCTTTCTAGATTCTAGCTACCAATTCTATCTACAACCAAACAAACGATTTGGTATTGAACCAAATTCCATTCTAAGGCTGTATTGGTATTGGCACCCAATTCAATACCTCTAGCACAATATCTACATCCAATCAGAGCCTAAGAATTTAGCGCCAAGGGTTTATTTTTAAATAATAATTTAAAAACGACTTTGACCTTCGTATAACCGTATATCTTCCTACTTTGTAGGAGTGAGTGAAGTCTAAAAAACCAAACTTCGACGGCTCCTCCTCTTTGTTAATTGGTTTTGAGTTGGTGGAGCCAGAGCTGTTGCTACCAGAGTAGAAGGTGAAGGCGAAGCTAGATCTATCCTGAGGATGGCCAAAAGAAAGCCTTATATTCTAACATGTGGGCTAAAAATAATCATTTTATCTGCTGCAGCGTCTCTTTTTAAAATAATGCATTTTTGATATGCTACAGCCAAAATTGAACAAGATGGTGCGTGTTTTAAGCAAAACCAAAACGTTTTAGTGTCCTGTAGACAGATTCACGGCCCTTTGTTCATACTATTTGGGCTTCGATAAATTGTACTTCTCAGGGTTAGTCCTGGCTCTTGCCATGTAGTATCAGGACCGGCTTTTCTAATCTTGTTGCTCTAACATGAATGATCGAGTCAATTATAGTAATGATGAATACATAAATTAAGATTCTACTAAAAAAATAAATCTAGCTATAATACTACTGGGCAACAAAGTCTCTAATTGTGGGTTGGCGAGATTGTAAAAATAATAGAGTTAAATACACTATAGATTCGTTAACTTTTAAGCGGTTGACCGTAGGACCATACCTCTTCGTTTGGCCTTAGATTCAACTCCTGGGTTCTTAGATTTCATTCCATGGTGAATGTTGACTCTACGTACTACGTGACCAAATAAAGGGTGGTATGGACCTACGGTTAAAAGTTTATGGCACAAAAGTTGAATCTAATGGCGGAACAAAGAAATATAGACCCACGGTGAACCACTTAAATATAAATAGTTTATAGATCCGAAAATTCAACTTTTAAAGTTGATGGACCCAATTGAAAACCATGCACAAGTTAATAGACATATGATGCATTTAACTCAAAAGAATAGATAACTCACATATCTTAATTACATATGGCGCGTTCGGCTGGTATAAAAAAACAGCGGAAGGTGTTGCTGGTACGTCCTACAGTACCTTGTGTGGGAGAAGCAGCCGGAAGCAGCCAGCCGAGTACCAGCCGAACACTCCGATATATGCCTCTATACACTCAACTACTACGCACTCACTCCGTCGTACCATGGATGCAATTCTAGACTTGTATAGTGCATATGTATCCGGAATTTGCTATTTTCCTATGAATTTTTATAAAACGAATTTAAATCTCAAATTTGGTGACAACATACATATATAAATGCACTACAAATGGACATTGTTTCTATTTTTTTAATAGTTTTAAGTATATTTTTGTAAAGGGTTTTCATGATTCCACCGAGAAGGTGGTTTGCATCGAATATTTTCCCAAGGTACCATGGAAATACATTTTTATAGTATCTGTTTGAAGTAATGAATGTTGATACTATTTTCCATAAATTTAGTTAAATTAAACATAGCTAGTCAGTAGAATTTATATCATTGCTGGGACGGATGTTGTACCGACTAGCGTATCTGGGCAGCACTTACCCTGGTCCTGCAGTTCCAAATTTCAATGCCACGTGCCTCATGCTCACCAGATACTATTAGAACCCTGCGTGTACCGCATAAGAAGTTCTGTGAGAGCAAAAAACAGTTGCGTTAAAGAACTCGATGAACGAATAATCAATGCTAATCCGTATCATTTCAAGAGAGTAAATCTTTGCACGCACCATGGCTCCAATGGATGGATGTCTATGCGATAAGTATGATTGAGGGATAATACCTGATCAAATCAAACAAACGCTAGTTAGCGCCAAAAGATTTAAGCATCACATATTACTATGAGCAAAATAAGAAAAAATAAAATTATGTATATACCTCAATTCTGGGCTGTATTGGTGTAACAACGCCACGAAATCAAGCAGTTGCACAATGATGCCAAAGGACAAATTAAACAGAGAAAAAGTATATTACAAATAAAATTCACTTTAGAAAAAAAATGACGTGATCTCGATCCATTTGTTAGGATGGGAGCGATAAGGGCACCCGTAATGGTATAAGCTGGTTACTAGCTCTAAGCCAATCTCGTCAACAATGTTAATTTTTAGCATATAACTCATAATATAGATAGCACCACGACACTCTCACATATTTTTGAAATATGTGTATGAGCCTCGCTCTTAAAGAGCTAGCTTTTTCTCTCTTCTATTAAAATATAAAAAAATGCTTAGAGCTAGCTCATGAATCAGCCATTGCGGGTGCCATAAGTTCTGTGGTTTAGCTTTTGTGAGAGGGGCATAATATCACATGAAATAGTGCCATTGTTTTTTTGGGAAAATTGTGTTCTTGCCCCTTACACAGATGTGCAATTGTGATTTTGCCCTCGTTTTTCTAACTTTGTGATTTTGTCCTTAACTGTTCACAAGTCAACGCGATTTTGCCCCTGGTCAACGCGATTTTGCCCCTGTTTTTACCATTGACCAGGGGCAAAATCGCGTTGACTTGTGAACAGTTAAGGGCAAAATCACAAAGTTAGAAAAACGAGGGCAAAATCACAATTGTACATCAAAGTAGGGGCAAAAACACAAGAGCCCCTTGATTTTTTGGGTTTTTTTATTCATACCATTACAATTTTCGAATTTTAGAGAAACACCATTACTATTCGCCTATTTTGAAACATACCATTATAATTCTTCATTTCCTACAAGGATGCCACAGACGTATAGAGACGATTTGGGCCTATAGCTGCAGGCGTAAACGAATACGTATACTTCATTACAGCCCCTCTCCCTATCACCGACGCGCGGGCCCCACAGGTCATCTTCGTCCATGGCGAGCAGCAGCAGCAGCACCCCGGTTAGAAGCGCCTCGGCCACGAGCTCCGCGCGCTGCCCAAGCCACGAGCTCCGTGCGCCATCCGGGCCGCGAGCAGCAGCAGCACGCCGCGAGTTCCCCTGTTTCCCACAAGCAGCAGCAGCTAGCACGCGAGCGAGCAGCAGCAGCACACGGCGAGCGGACGGCGGTGGGGCGCACGTGACCGGCGCGGAGCTCGCGGCTTGGGCGGCACACGGAGCTCGCGGCCCATGCGCTCCCAGCCGGCGTGGGGCTCGTGGCCCGTCAATGGCGAGCTGCTGCTCTCGTGGCCCTGTCTTGGCGAGCTCGTGGCTCCCAGCCGGCGTGCTGCTGCTGCTGCTCGGCCTCGTGCTAGCTGCTGTTGCTCGCCATGGACGGCGACCGATGCTGCTCACCAAGGAGAGATGAGAAGAGAAAGAAGAAGATGACATGTGGGGCTCACGCGTCGGTAACAGAAAGAGGGGCTGTAATGAAGTATACGTATTCGTATATGCCTGCAGCGAGGCTCAAGTCGTCTCTATACGTATTCTGTGCCATTATTGTGGGAAACGAAGAATTGTAATGGTATGTTTCAAAATAGACGACTAGTAATGGTGTTTCTCCAAAAAAAAAATTGAGAAATTAGATGTTTCTCCAAAGTTCGAAAATTGTAATGATACGCAAAAAAACCCTTGAGCAGCAAATTTACAGGACGTACCTTGAATGCTTGCTGGCTTGCACACTCATGAAGGCTCGTTATCTTCACCTGTTTCAACACATCATGAACTGCTTCTGCTTTGTTAAACATGTAGTCAAAGTTCAACCAGAAGTCCAAGTTGGCTGCATTGCTCTGGATGTGAATTGTGCTCAGGTTTGGGGGTGGTTTCTGTTGCTTTTGCATCGTCAGAATGTAAGTCTGAGTGGATCTTGCAGGTACAGTGCCATTGAGTGAACCGACGAAGATATCTGGGGTATTTGGCTGAATCCTGTAGGCAATATTATGATATGCGTTGTTGGTTAGCTGCACTGGGCATGGAATCAGCTTATCTGGCTCGAAGGGGAAGCAGAGATTGAGAGGTTGGACAACAAATAGCTGCCTGTACAGCTTATCAATAGTTTCTTCTGTTTGGTTCAACATAGAGATGACATCCTCTATACTGGGCCTTTTGTGGCTATTGGATTCCACACACTTCACTGCGATCTCAGTGCAAGTCTTCACTTGGTTGCAATAAGCATCCAGATACGATGCATCTTTCCGTGCTACCATCGGTAACATGTTCCTCCAGTTTCGTTGAACCTGCAACTGAAGTGAATCAGTAAACGCCGTACCTCACTATGAAAACGTTTCGAGCCAAAACTACAAGAAAATGGACATTATAGTCCTCATAAGAAAAAAAAAACTTCCCATACCAAATCAATGAAGTCTTGGGAAGAGGACATATCAGAATATGTGGAGTAGCCATCGGATCCTGTCAATATTTTTATGATTATGACCCCCAAACTAAATACATCAAACTTCTTTGTGATTTTTCCCATATCTACATACTCTGGTGGGGCATATCCGCTGAAATATATTTGAAGCATCGCGTAAGTAACAGTGATGTAATCCTAAATAATTTATTTTATAGAAAAGATGGCCCAAGATAATCTCCTTCCTAATATACAATAAGAAAAACAGAAAACATTACATAGAAAAGACCAAAAGGTAACTTACTATTTCCAATGTTTATTACAGAAAAGATCCCATTAAAAGTAAAATTGCAATCAAGTTAAAAAATGTCGTCTTGACAAAAATTCAACCATGATTGCTAATTCATGCAATTTCATATCACCATCAATGTTGCTGCCTCTAGAGGAAAGGAAACTGTTTACAAAAAAATGGACAAGTATAATAGACTCCATCATCAATGTTGAGGAAGAAGAGGAAGAGGAGGAGGAGGAGGAAGAGGAAGAGGACGAGGAAGAAGAGGAAGAGGAAGAAGAAGAAGAAGAAGAAGAGGAAGAGGACGAGCAACATGTCTTAGAATGACTGCAAGAAGATGGTGGGTGATTGCACATCATCACTCGATCATCAATCGATGAGCTTCCCGATGATCTTTGCCAAAAAAAAAAGGTACAAGGCAAGCTTTCAGCCGATCTAGAAGTGTTCCTTGTGAGCTACTCCAAAGATCGAGGGGTGAATATTACTCAATACCGTGAGGCCATCTTCGGTAAGCCTTCTACCTCTACATTTGATGCACCTGAGGTAAAGATCCATAAAGAAGTTGATGATTTCTCCCCTACTAATGCTGATTATGCTAAGATATTACATGATCATAAAACTGTGATTGGGAACAACCTTATAAGTGTTGTTAATATGATCATGTCTCATTTTGATAGACTAGAGGGTAAGAAAGTCAATTATGTTGATGCATCTACTAGTGAATCGGCTTCTAAACAACCTTATTATGGGATTCCTTACAATTTTTATGAGAACCAAAGCTTATATATGGAGGGGTTTAATGATTCAACTGAGTGGTTGATTTTCACTAAATCGAAATCATAAAGGCACACTCTATATCATAAATATCACATGTTTAAGCACAATGCAAACATACCACTATTTTAAAAAAAGAAAACAAAAACCAACAGATATACAAGGAATGAGTCATTTAACTCACAGAGTCATTAGACGGTTTTTTGTAGTATGCGATTGACGAGTTCCACTAAAGAGCCTTGATAGGCCAAAGTCTGCAATTTTTGGCACCATATCCTTGTCAAGCAATATATTTGAAGGTTTGAGGTCAAGATGGAAAATTCTTTCTCCATGAAGGTATTTCAAACCGTCACAAATCCCCTTTATTATTTTGTAGCGACTATGCCAACAAAGTACAGACCGTTCATCTGTAGAAGAAAATAAATGACACATGTTTACAGAATTATTCTATCAAATGTAACTGGCATTTTTTTAGAGATCAACACTAACTAGCATACTAAACAAAACTACCTCATACCAGAGAGATGCTCCGCAAGGCTTCCTTTAGGCAAAAACTCCAAGCATATTGCCCTCTCTATCTTTGTAGCAAACACTAGTCTGCCTTGGTGTTCGACACATCTATCTTGCTCTATGTAGCTTTTCCCAATGAGCTGGACGATGTTTGGATGGCAAATTCTAGTAAGGATTCGAAGTTCATTTTGAAACTGATCCTCATCTAATCCTGGCATGTGGTGAAGCTTTTTTACAGCTACCTCTTGTCCATTTGGATGTACTCCCTGTTTCACATATTTGATTACAGGCATTTCATTATTGAAGGATGAAACTGAAAAGATGAAGCAAAAGTCATTAACCATACCTTGTAAACCACCCCATATCCACCACTACCAATTTTTTGCTCTAGTGCAAAACCATTTGTAATGTCTTCTATTAGTTTCCATGGGAAATCTGTTGGCACCTCCCTTGTATTGTATCGTTCATTATTCATAATTCATATATCTGTTACATTTAGTGTCACTTTAAAAAACTAACTTAAGATAATGAGCAACTAATGAACAATTAAATATACATCCTCCAGTACTAAAAAATTCGGCGATTTTTGGATTCACACTAACCTACCTTATGAACTTTTTTGCTGAATCTACTCATATAAACATTAGGTGTAAAAATAAAATACTGACACTCACATATTATTCTCATTTTACTGTATTTAACAAAACATGCACACAATTCATTATCTTCCAGTCCAGAGTTTCGAAACCCTTAAGCAGCATCTGTTGTACTCTGCTATGTGGGACCAGACCAACAAACCACCATGTCAGTTTCACATCCAAGGATTTCAGAGAAGTATGGTGGTAAATAAAGAATCAATCTGGCAACTACTCAAATTATGATAATATGGGAATGGGCAGGAATTATCTTGAGCATCATATGCCCAATTTGAAAGACAACAAAACAAAAGGAATTTCATGCAGTCACCTAGAGGAACTTTTCAAAGGATGAAGGTTCAATATTTACACAATTCCAGATCTTTGGATTTTGTAGTTTCCTTTTGTGGGTGTGTGGTGTTTTTTAAGGGTCCCCTTTTTTTCTTCTTAATGCAATGATATGTAGTTCTCCTGCATGTTCAAGAAAAAAAGTGTCATCTTTGGATGGACAATGGACCATCAAAACATTTTAAACATTTGAAATATAGAAAAAAAATTATGCTGCAACCTGGTAGTAAAGCAATTGTCTTCTACTGCAAAAAGGCTGGCATTTCAAGTACTATTTCAGAAGAAATTCTGAAAGGTTTTAGGGAAGCTAATGTCATATTGGTCACTATGGAATTCAGTGGTACCAACTTGCTATACGATTTGGACAGCGGATTGGTTGAGAGCAGAGGTCGGACAGCAACGAAATATTCCACGAGCATGTTATCAAGGAAGACTTTTCATAAACACAGATCTTGAACGGGAATTTCATCTGAAACATAGGAAGGACTAGTTTCACAGTATGAAAAGGAGTATTTCGTAAACATACTACTGGACGACTGGTAGAAAGCTTTTCTTCGAGAACCAAAATATATACGATTGTGTGGAGTAAGTTTAAGCATAAGCTAAGATATTACAAGAATACTAGAGGAGAGGAGAGGAGAACTGAAAGAATCCGTCTCTCTACTATTCCAAAATATGAGAGACAAAATTACAAAAATAGCAGAGTACCAACAAAAGGGTCACCAACTATTTAACATGACTCCTGGTAAGAAAAGAAAAAAACCATGACTAACAGAGAGAATATAGTATCACGAAAAGGTTTTACTGGTTTTTTGTCACCTTGCTGTTTGCTACAACACCAATCAACCTCCTTAGAAACGATGAGCACACAAGAGTATCTGAGGACCAACAAGGCAACAACTAGTAGTATGTGATGAAAATCCACATGTATATGCTCAGAGTCGCCATGTTAGATTTGGCAGCCTGGCGCAAATAAACTTCCCTAAAACCTTTTCAGAATTAAATATATAGCAGAATCAGGGTCACTAACCTGAAGCAATCTTGCGATGGCCACCCTCCTTGAAGCGATGGTAAGCAGAGGAAAGGAAAGGAGAGGGCAGCAACCAGTGAGGTAGGAGTAGATTATGCTTTATCGAGATTCAAGATTAATGCGAACAGAAGTATGTTGGTTGTTGGACCTCTGCATTTGGCCCAAGGAGGGAGGAGACCTGCTAGTTGACTCCAAGTCTCCAATGCGGTGCATGTGCTGGTTCAGCAAAAGCTGATGCCGACCCAAGAAGCAGGTACAATAATTGCGGTGCATGCGCCGGGTCACTGCACGCGTGAAGTGAAGGTGAGGGACGAAGTTTTAGAGAGAGAGAGAGAGAAAGTGACAAACGTAGTTGGTTCCAAAATCCAAATCGAAAATTATTGACTTGACTTGGTACGCATGTAGTGATGCCATTTAATTAGGTTTCACATCACATGGAGCCGTTCGAATAGAATTGCAGACCAACGGACAGGCTTCGCTGAAAAAATAAGTCCAAACATTGCTACAGCTAATTTGTTATGAGAGAAAAATACTATTCCGGCTAAAAAAAACAAGCTAAAAAGTATGGATTATAAGAGAAGCGAACATAGCCAATACTCTGTTCTTGCACCTCTACAGCTCTTTCATCTACACTGATATTGTTCCGCTGACAGAGCAACTCGCCAATTGACAAAGTATAAACACCGTTGTCATGTGTGGCGCCATAGACAGCATCTCAAGATCACCTTCCCCACTCGAAAATACTATCGGGTGTTCGGCTGATGATTTTTGTGGCTAATAAATCGGTTAATGCTATTTTGTTATGAGAGAAAATCATTGTATCATAGCTATAGATTCACGAGAACAGGACGTATGACTGTGTAGGACACTGTGGCTGTATATGGATTCCATTAGTACATGACATGGACGTTGTACAGATCCAATGCGGTGCATGTGCTGGTTCCAGCAAAAGCTGAGGCCGAGCCAAAAAAGCGGGTACAATAATTGCGGTGCCTGCACGCGTGAAGTGAAGGCGAGGGACGAGGGGAGGGAGAGTCGGAGAGAGAGAGCAAAACGGCGCCGCGTGTTCTGCTCGTCGCTACGCGGAGTTCATGAGACCATGACCCAGTTGTGGGGCCGGTGATGAGGTTTGCCGGTTT